GGCGCGCCGCGCCCCCTCGCCGCCGGGCCCGGCGCCCAGCACAGCACTGCCGGCAGCGCCATCTTGACTCAGGGCCGCGGGGTCAGGCGCGGGCAAAGAGCGCGCTCGGCGCCATCTTGGCTCAGGGCAGCACGTGGGGGGCGGGGCACGTTCGGAGCCATCTTTACTGAGGGCAGCAGCTCAGCCTCAGGCGTGGTGGGGGGGGTGCTAGGAGCCATCTTTACTGAGGGCAGCAAGGCTCCTTTTCTCAAGAGGGAGCCCATTTTTCCTGTTTCGGCGCCATCTTTACTAAGGGCAGAAGGGGGCAGGTGGTGGAATTCGTTTACTCTGGACCCTAACGACGGCGATCGGTCGCAGCTGTCATCCTGGCTGATGGCTGCCCCCTCCCCCTCCGCTGAACAGGCTGGGGTATCCCCAGCAGAGGGCACAGGCAAGACTGGATACCTTTGCTGAGATAAAAATGAGAAAGAAACCAAGCCCTAAGGCCTCTTCCTCTAGCGGGGTGAGAAGAGTACGGGCCCATAGCTAGAAACAGGTAATTCTAGGGCCTGCCTAGCTCCTGAATACACAATGCAAGAGAAAGCCACAAACAATGCAAGACATTTTCACATTTATTGACTGAAAATCAAAGCTGAGATAGAAGTACAGCATCCACTGTGTCCCTCCTGTTATTATTGGCTGGGAAAGTCACACAACTATCTCAGAAATTCACTAGGAAAAAGAGAGAGAGATTTAAATCTGTCCACAATCTTTATCCTTCCTCCTGTCATCTCTCCATCCCTTCTCCCAAATAATCTATCTTTAAATACTAAATAAAAAAAACAAAAACAAAAACAAAAACACCACACAACCCCCAAAATAAATGTGCAAGAAATGCAGGTTCCTTAGTGGAAATGCAAGTTATTACAATTTGCAGTTTACTACCCTCCCCTACCCAGCGAAAAGAAATTGGATGGAATCAGTGACATCAATTACCTTCTCTTCAGATTTCCAGTGTCACCCACTACACACTGCAAGATGCTTGAGAATTGATCAGTCTCTAGCATCCTGTTCTTAATATAGTTTCTAGATAACACCCCCATAATTCTCAGACAGCTGTAAAGGCGCCGCTATAAAAACCCGCAGAAACAGCTCAAGAAAAAGGAATTGAAAAAAAATCAAAGTGACAAATGCTGGTGTCATCACTCAGCAACTCAAGGGGGAAAAACAATCAGGCCAATGTCTGTTATTTGTTGACACCATTTACATGAGAGTCATTTTACATGTCTTGTGAAGAGATAAGGTTCCTGCTTCAAGGCACTTGATATCTAGTTCAGTTCAATACAATACACTTGTCAATAGCTCATCCACAAGAAGAGGCAGAAGAATCATCCATGTTCAGATCCAGGCAGGAAACAATCAAGAGAAATGGGCTTGAAAGAGGCTTTACATGAAACCTTTTATCCATAGGTTCTGAAGCCCTTTACAAACCACTTTACAAGTGACCACTTCCGGGGTGAAATCCAGCAGCTGTTTAACAATATACCCCTTCAGCACGTGGCAATTGGAGCTGCATAAAGCAAACAAGTGCCATGGGATCTTTAGGGCCAAGACCACAGTTTTATATCCCATTGGAAAGATGGCAACTTCTGTCTCAAAGCACCTCCTTGCACTACACTAGGGCAATAGTTCTGTCTGGATTTAAAGTGAAGGAAGCCACCCGCTGTTGCCTTTCTGCAGCAATGGATTTTCCATGGCAGTCGCACACTTGCGTGCTAACAAGCCTAATGGTGTTTCGCTTATTCGGCAAGTTCACAACCCAGGGAGGCTGAAAGGTAATGTGACTGCATTCTGCCTCCAACTCAACTTGAGCCAGTGTCAGGGAATCTTTGGTATCGAAGAAGAGGCTGATGGAAGTGGACAGTATATATTAAAGGAAAATGAAGGAAGGGATGGAACTGAAGAACAGACTGTGTGTATATATTACAGGTACTAAAGCAGACACAACTTAGGTTCTCCATTCTTGTCATTGGATTTTCTACATTAAGGCTGATGCTGGTACTGGCTCTCCGTTGCAGTATAGAAATCCTCCAGAACACTCTGTGTGTATTCAAAGGTAGGACGATCTTCTGGTTTGTTCTTCCAACATTTCAACATGATATCATACAGCTCTTCCGGGCAGTTATCTGTGCGTGGCATTCGATACCCACGCTCCAGGGCACGGATCACTTCCGGGTTAGACATCCCTATAACACAACAACAGGCAGAAGGAAAACAGAGTATGACAAGTGTTTTCATTTTGATTTTTAACAACTCATTTAGGGACTGTGATCTCTTGACATAGAGGGACAGGAGGAAACACAGGAAGAGGGATAGGATGAGCCCTTATATCACCACATGCAAAACAATGGAGTCATCAGACAATGGTATTTAAAGCTGTATTGACATAATCTCTCTTAAGTTGAGATAAAAAATGATTATTTACAAAGTCCAGTTCTGCAAAACACTCCAAAATAACGGCCATGTTCTTCAGGTAATAGGAGGAAGGTTCAAAACCAACCCAAGGAAGCATTTCTGCACACAACGCGCAGTCTGCCTGAGTAACTCTTGCCAGAAGATGAAACAGGGTTCAAAGAGAATTAGAAAAGTTGAATGGAGCATCAGTGGTCCTCAATGGCTATTGGCCACGGATAATGATCTAGTCTGTTTGCCGGAAGCTGGGAATGGACAAAAATGGATGGATAACTTGAGAATTGGTCATTCCCTGTGGAGCACCTGGCACTGGCCACAGAGGGCAGACAGGACAGTGGGCTAGATGGACCTTTGGTCTGACCCGGCCTGGCCGCTCTGATGTGAAAGGACAATTTGAGAAGTCGTATTGGCCCTTTCCCCAACAATCCCTAGACCAGGGCTACTCAATTTTGGAAGTCCTGGAGGCCACAGTGATGCTCTCAGCACATGCCGAGGGCCGCAACTTAAGTGTGGTTGCATATACATGCAAATCTATATGCAAATATATGCAAATAGCTTCTTTTACACTGACGGACATGAATACAAAGATTAAGGCAAGACTACACAACACACAGGCCCCAATTAAGTCAGTTCTGCTGATATTAATAAAATGCAATAGTTACTCAATTTCCACCCATATGACAGCAATTTTAATGAGCAATGACAGTCCAGGAATTTAACTACTAAAATGCATCTCAACAGAAGACAATTCTATTGATGACTTTTTTGTTTTGGCTCCCACCCGCGGGCCCTGCGTAAACCCAAACTGCATTGCGGGCTGCAAACAAACAGGCCACGGGCCACATACGGCTCGTGGGCCACATGTGGCTCGTGGGCCACATGTTGAGTAGCCCCGCCCTAGGATTCAGTCCCTACGTGAATAAATCATGGACAGATCACCTTGCTTGGGCAGAATCATTTATTATCTCTCAGAGGTGTCACGCCCCCCCATGCTTTATGGAAATTGACTTACGAATATGCATAACTCGAATACACTATGCAAAATGCATCATGTAACATATCAATTTCAAACTAACAATCTGCCGAATCCGTATATCCTATTTTCATGCAAGGATCATTCTTGTATGTGGAAAACTTAAAAAACAATAAATAATCCTGCAGCACCTTAGAGACTAACAAACAATGTAGCTGGAATCATGAGTTTTTGTGGGCACAACCCACATCTAAGTCCATTCATCAGAAGCAGTGGATTATGCCCACGAAAGCTCATGATACCAGCTACATTTCTTGTTAGTGTCTATGGAGCTACAAGATGATTTGTTGTTGTTGAAGTTTTTCCAGTTGCTGACTAACTCGGCTCCCCTCTGAAACTCTTGAATGTGAAGTTAGACATACAAAGTACGAATCTGGTTTTAATTCTAAATGCACCAATGAGTGCTATTAGTGTTACTTAAGGAACTTAATGACTCAGTACTCAAACCAACGACCCGTGAATGATCTTGTGAGTCCTGTAAGCCCAAACTGTGGTTGGTCCTAGAAAGACACGTAACCATGCCACCTAGTACTGGAATCCATCTTGAGTCTAGTATTTTTCCATAGGGATGGTGAGACCGAGAAAAGGGTTCCTGCCCTGGGGGGTGGGGGGCAGTCTATTTAAGGAATGGAAAGCAATCAGGTCTTTGACTTCAACTGACCTTTGAAACTGCATCACCCACCCACAGAGGATACACACATAGAAAACCTGACAACAGCTGTAGACCCAGGCCCAGAGTAAAGATCAATGGGGAGTTGAAGCATATTACCCGAGATAAGATCAACTGTTTAGCGTATGAATTTGCATATAACAAATTTCTTAGCATATTAGACCTAGCTGGAGTTTGTTTATTTTAATTTAGTAACTTGCTTTGATTGGTCTGTTTTCATTGTAATCACTTAAATCCAATACAAACACTTTTATTTATTATCAAGTGCAGTGTAAATAATGGTTACTGTGGAGGGGAGGGGGCGAATCCACCGGGCATCTCTCTTTTTCATGGATAAAGGGAGCAAACATCTTCATGAGTATTCTCGGTGTAAAACTTTTACGCAGGGTAAAATGGATTTATTTGGGGTTTTGGTCCCTTTTGGGGGTTGATTTCCTGGGTGCTGAGTCCTCAGAGCTGAGCCCTTCTGAAGCTGAACTGGTTCAGGGTCTGTGCCACTTTGCTGGGGGGCAGTTACCCCAACTCTGTGCCTTGGCTGGAGGAGACCAGAGCAGGACAGGGTGGTGGGGAGCCCCAGAGGGCAGGAAGGCTGGTATCAGTGGCTGGATCAGTGCTCTAAGGGACAACCCCAAGGGGATTTCTGTGATCCAACCAGTTACAAGAGGTACCAGAGAGACAGATTAGTATAAATGGAAAGAGTTGCTGATTCTGCCATCAGATCTTTATTAGCCCTTCTAAAACATCTGGGGGTGCTTTCCAGCACCACACAAATATGCTAATTCAAACTGAGAAGGAAGAGGCAATGGGATTTGGTGGACCGAGCGCAGGCTCAGAGTCAAGAACTTGTGAGTTCTGATGCCAGCTCTACCAGCAATGATGCACTCAAGCCCATACAGGCAAACGCTCTCACTCGATTGACACATTGGAGGTTTGGGCAAAAAGAAATCTGATGAGGCTCAACAAGGCCAAGTGCAGAGTCCTGTACTTGGGAGGGAAGAATCCCAGGCATTGGTACAGGCTGGGGCCTGACTAGCTAGGTAGCAGTTCTGCAGGAAAGGACCTGGGGATTCCAGCAGACGAGAAGATGGATTTGAGTCTACAGGGTGCCCTGGTAGCCAAGAAGGCTAATGGCTCACAGTTTTCAAGTCACCCTCCCTTCCCTGGTCCCTTGCTAACTTCACCTAGAAGTAGATTATATGGACAAGCCAAGAATAGCCCTGGAGACAGCTCAACCTCCCACCTGGGTACGGGGTCCGCCCATAGGTAACGATCTCCATCAGGAGGATTCCAAAGGACCAGACGTCGGATTTGATGGTGAAAGATCCAAAATTGATCGCTTCTGGCGCAGTCCACTTAATGGGAAACTTGGCACCTGGCAAAGAGATTGAAACTGTCAAGTGTAATTCACAAGCCAAGGGGCCAGAAGTGAGGCACATAACAAGAGAAGTCACTAACAGCGGGACGCACGGAGATGCAAGGTCAGCAGCCCCCCTGCTCAACAGACCCAACTTCCACATGTTTGACATGCAGATCACGCCACCTCAAGCTCCCGGGTATGTGAGTGTAGGTGGGCCTAAGGGAGACCAAGTTACACCATCTCAGGTCCCCTCTGACCATGGCTGGCCACGTGCATTTTGTCATGCCAACTAGGGCATGCAGGCTGCATTCGTATGTGTCACCCTGGCAGCTCTTTACCTTCCCGGGCGGTGTACTCATTATCCTCAATGATCCTGGCCAGTCCGAAATCGGCGATCTTGCACACCAGGGTGGCGGAGACCAGGATATTGGCAGCTCTCAAGTCCCTGTGGATGTAGTTTCTCTGCTCGATGAACGCCATTCCTTCCGCAATCTGTAGAAAGGGGGATACACCACGCACACAAGTTTCAGCGTTGGAGAGCCAGAACAATCAAGCCCTTCGTGGGCCCCAGGAAAGAAGTTAACTCACTGTTCACAAGCCCCTGGCAATCAGAGTGCTCAGGGAACCCCCTCTCTTGGGGGGGGGGGGGGGGGAGTGACAGATTAAAATCCCTATTCCCTAAGGAAAGGGCTGTTCATCATGCTTCCAGACAGGCAAAGACCAGGATTCTGGGGGACATGCAGCCCTCCACAGAGGCTGGGCCAACACATGGCTTATGCATCACATGAAGCCACAGTGGGGAAATGACAGAGGACAGTGGCGGATGAGTTGATACATCAGAACAAGCCTCTGTACATTTCCATGAACTAGAAGCTGGGATTTTACCTCTTCACCGACAGTCATACACATGGACTCACGCAAACACACTCCTCTTGTGTTGCTAGTGCACACACCCAAGCTAGTGAACATACACAAGCACAACTAAATCTGCTGCCACAGGCCCTGAACGTTACTATCTTGGCCAGTAATGGGCAGCCACGAATAGCGAGTGGGCCACATGAGAGGCCCTCCTTCATGTCAGTGGGCCGCTGCAGCCCGCGGCTCACTGGGGTTCCACCTGCAGCCCCGTGGACCCCCATCTGCCCCTGTGCCTCTCACACACTGTGGCAACAGAGCCCCAACTTACCTGCTCCTCCAGCACTTTTGGAGCATGCAAAGTGCCTGATTCACACTCCATCCCTGCTCTGCCACCTCCCTTCCAGAGCTTGAAAAGCCACGAAAGGGCTGGGAGGGGGAGGGGGAGGAGCAGGAAGTGTGGGGCTCCGGTGTACCAGTGCAGGAGAGGCACATGGGGGAGGGCAGCAGCCGGGGATGTGTGCGGGCCGCAGATGGAGCCCCAGTGGGATGCACCACTGATCTAGAATAAACTAGACTCCAATGTTCCCTCTAATTTTTTCTGTCCATGTGCAGAATAAATTTTGTTCTGTGCACTGAGGCAAATGCAGATGTGCACCACCAGTATACACACACACTGGCAGCCCTGGGCACTCTACTAAATCAGATGGGCAGCCTTTGACTCTCTCCTGGGTGGCCGCCCAAATGCTCAGTTTACAGGAATCGCTGCTAGGTTCATGTCTGGTTTTAAGCCACCTCAGCGAGAATCTTTTCCCAGGTTTCACTGTAACGGTGCCCGTGGCACCTTCTCCACTGACCCTCCTGCCCCAGCAGGGCCAGAAGAATGAAGAAATTCCCTAGGGAGACATTACGCTGCGAGAGCATACAGCTCTCCTATTAGGATGGAGAAACTCCATAGAACTGAGAGCAACTCTCCAAGAACCTAAACATATGACGATCACAGCTCTCCCCAGACACCTCTCTCCTGGACATCCAGGGATGTGGCACCCATGCTATTTCATTAGAAGGCGGGAATTTTAATTCTGACATTCCCACGGTAGCACTGCATATCACAACTCAACACTCCCTTGTTATCTGACTACACTCAGCAGTGGAAGAGCCCACTAGAGGGCACCCGCGACCAACGCCACAAAGCACGCCCCAAAAGGCACTCGTCAGCAGTGGGAGGGAGAAGGTGACAAGGAATAGGACAGCATGGACATGGAGCTGGAAAGGAAAAGGGCCCATGGGGGTGGGGGAGTATACATCCTGCACTTGCTTACTCCTGTGGAGAGTCGGGCCCAGAGAATCTGGCAGCCTAAGTCTTCACATACGTGCAGCTGAGCTGTCCATGCAAAACCACAAACGTCACAAACTCAAGAGAGTAATTTCACACCCTGGGTCCTATTTGCACCCTCGTTTACTGAATGTGCAAACGTGAGCTCACACAGCTGCCTATGTGCTGTTTGCATACGGAACTCCTCTCTCTGGGAACGCGGATGGAAAGAGGCAGGTGCAACAGTGGTTCCGAACCCTGGTGGGCCAATACTCCCTGTATGGCCCTGAGGATGTAGCACCGGCTGCAGCTGTGTGCTGTCTGGGCCGCAGATTGAGAACCAGCAAGCTGGGCCCTTTGCAAAGTCTCCGAGCCAGAAAAGCAGCATGCACAAGAGCGTATCTAACTTGCACAAGGCTGTCCCCAAGGCAGCATGAGCCTGTGGCTACGGCATTCAAGAGTTCAGCGTTCAATTTCCAGCTTCGTCATCAGCTTGGGCACATCGCGTCACGTTTCTGCCTCTACCGCCCTCAGTTTGAGGGTAAGTTCTCCAGGGCCAAGACAACCGGTCTGCACTAGAAAATTAGGTCAGTTTCACTATGCCAGCTAGAGGTGTGAAAAATCCACCCTCTGCCCCATGCATGTAAACTGACCTACATCCACCTGAGCAGAGCGCCAGGTCAATGGAAGAATTCTTCCCTCCACCGAGCTACTGCCTGTCAGGGAGTTGGGTTCCCGACGCTGACAGGAAACCCTCTCCCATCAGCACAGCGAGTGCCACGCTGAAGGTGTGACACTGTGGTGTTGTAAGTGTAGAGAAACCGATAACGGGAGGCTAGTCTGCAGGCTACTTTGGCTTTGCTGACATCTTTGCAGCAGAGCTTCCGAGTGGAGGCATCAAGCATACTGACCGGAGGTTTTAGAGGTCACCAAATGAAATGAATAGGCAGCAGGTTTAAAACAAACAAAAGGAAGTTTTTCTTCACACAACGCACAGTCAACCTGTGGAACTCCCTGCCAGAGGATGTTGTGAAGGCCAGGACTTTAACAGGGTTCAAAAATGAACTAGATACATTCATGAAGGTTCGGTCCATCCATGGCTATTAGCCAGGATGGGCAGGGATAGTGTCCCTCGCCTCTGTTTGTCAGAGGCAGGAAGTGGGTGGATGGGGAGGGATCACTGGATGATTCCCTGTTCTGTTCGCTCCCTCTGGGGCACCCGGCATTGGCAGGACACTGGGCTAGATAGACCTTTGGTCTGACCTAGTATGCCCACTCTTTTCTTCTCCCAGCGTACACCACCACCTCCCTGAAGCCCATAAGCTGTGTTGCTAGAACCACCCTCTTCCAGCTGCGCTGGAGAAGGAATGTGACTTTCACAGCTATGCTGGCCAACCTTAATAGCGTAACCTTGGCCTGTGCGTACTGCTGTGCCCTACAGCCCTAGGACTTTCCCTGGGGTTTCCAGCGGCCATTGAAAGATAAACACCACCACCACATTTGGATGCACAAGCAGATTACTGCCCACGCAAATGAGATGCACAACTGCACATCCAACTTATCTAAACATCTCACACTGAAAGTGGAACTTGACGAGCTATTTTCAGGAAGTGTTCTGCAAACTCCTGTGAAACTTTATAGTCCCCTTGGCCTTATCTGCAACCCGCTTTCCCCTCTGCTAGGAAGCTACTTGGAGACAGGGCTTCATCTAACACACTCATGCCAGGCACAAAAGTTCCTCGCCTCTTCCCAGAAGCCCCGCCCAAGATGACACCAGTCTGGTGTTTAAAGCAGTGTCCTGGAATGAAATAGGTCAGAGCCGGGGTGAGGGGAAGGAAGACGGAGG